ACGATATTCTTGAATTTGAAATGATGTCCTCGGGCTAGTGGAATCAATTAAGAAGGCATGCAATCATTTGTGTGACACCACTGCAAGCGCATGTGCGCCCCAAAAAGCAGTAGGGTAGGTGCTGGGTGAGAAGCACCAGACTGCTACACGGCGTGCTATTTTTTCCTAAGGTGTGACTTTGTAATAAATCTGGCCATGTCTACAGACATTCCGGTGCAGTGGTCATTCCGTATTTCAATTGTAATGGGCTACTGCGTGTGATTCAGTTTGCCAACGTGGGTAATGGCAGGGGGAATGGATCGTGGATGCTTCTCAGATAGCTGTGTATAGTTCTTGGAGACTTAACTTTTTATAGTAGATAAGTGTAGCTGTAGAATAAAGTATTGAGTGTACTTGCTATCGTAGTTCTCAGATAGCCACGATCTTTCTGCAGTTTTGTCCTTCGTTTCTGAGCTGCGTGGGACCACGTGGATGGAGTGTTCACTGCTTCTTCAAAATCGAAATCGAGACGACCTTTTTTCATGAAAAGATAGATTTTTGACCTTGTTTACTAGTTCAATACCGTTTTGGGGTGCGCTTCAACATTCGTCTTCGACGCAAAATTGTATGCAGTGGTGTTCAGAAAGCCATTGTTGCTTGAATAAGGAATTGAGGTCGCCGTCCGTTGTTTGTTCCATTCCCGGTAAGAAATGCAGGATGAGAGCAGATCTAGGGAACATCTGGTTGTTGAGAGCTTGGGTAAATGATGATAACTTTACTTTGCTCAATGGATATATCAAAAGCAAAAGCGTATCAAAAGCATGTAAACATTTAAAAAGTTTCGATATGAAGAGTGCTTCTGATTCCTGCACAACCGCGCCTTCATCATTCGAATTCTCTGATGTGAAGATTCAAAAATGCCTAGTTCCCAAAGTTTTTTCGTATCAAAGTATGTGGGCACAACAAACATAAATAAGATCAGTAATTGGTGAAATCAACGGAGTTGCTAGTTAGGACAGTATTCTAATTCTGTGCACGGAACAAGGGATTCGAACAGTTGCCTCCCCATTTCATCCCGAGCACATATTCTTGCCATCTCCATGAAGACAGCTCTTATTCAGCTAGGAGATTGGCGCCTGCGATAGCATAGGCACATTCGTAGTAGACCACCAAGTCACCCAAAAGGAAACAAATGGAGTTCGAAGAACACGAGAATAACCACGAGGAGCTTCGAAAAAGATTGGCAGGACGTTATCAAGATTTCACCAATGCAAAGCTTGGGGCAGAAGTTGTCATAGATAAAAGGAAGGATAACAAGAACCTCACAAGAACTGCCAGTCTTGCCTGAGCGCGGGATTACCTCCAAGAAGAATAACGAAAGTATATCTCCCAGTGAAACTAATGAGTGCTCTATGACGTTCGCCGAAGAATACAGCAGTAAACAGCTATTTGGACAGATTCGTTACTTCTTTGCCATATATTCCACTCGTTCTTGATCAGAGAACGTCAATTAACACCAGCCATTGCCAAATACCGTGCCTGCTACAAAATGCTCACAACAAGTCCTGATGGACTAAGGTTATTTTATTAGCTGCTTTTGCTGAGAAAGGTGGTGCGTGCGTTTTCTCCACTGCATCCTGGCATAAATACAAGGATGAAGTCCTTATCTTCAATCAGTCCCGTCTGACGACCCTGCCCCCTTGAACCGTGTCTCTAAATTACCTCTGCGACAGCTTTCGGTATTCTCCGTCGTGCATCATATGCCCATTTTGTAAGTAAGGGAGTTGCGCGAAATGTGCTGGAGAGGCTTCCTTCTTTCCAGTTCCAGCAGTGCCGCATTCGGGAACGCATAGTCACATTATTGCCAACTGGAGCAGACTAACACATGATGATTTCTATGCTCTATATACATGAGCTCCATTTCACCTGCCTCTGAGGTCTTTTGTTTTGAAACTCAGGCTCTAAAAGCCTCTCCACTCTCGATCGCTTTCGCCATTGCCGTCTCTCTTTCTACAATTAACTGCAGGGGTCAGTGTTTTGAGCGCGTCACCGTCTTTCCACTTTCAGTCGCTTCTGCGATTGTTAACTCTTACTTCTTCAACTAACTGCAGTGGTCAGAGATGCGAGTTAATAGCTGAGTAATTTTTCCGCCCACTAATGATTTGGGCCACTGATGGCATCAACCAAAGCATACTACCTTTTACATCTTTTCACTATAATGTTATTTATATGCAAATATGACATCTGGTATGTGTAATGGGAAGCACATCAAACACATGGGTGCCATTTTTTGTGAGGTCGTGATTACATACGACGATAGAATTTTCTGTATTGTCTAGCTCTGTATTGTTTCCCTATCATATTTGGTAATGGCGCACCTTGGAGGCAAAATAAACAAATAAATAATAAAAGGAAGCCAGGAGTTTGCTAGATTAAATCAAGACAAGGTTTTGAGCAAGGAAAGGCAACTCTGATTTGATAAGTCCTGCTGTGGTAGTTTTCAAAATTTATTCTCACACATTCCTATTCATTTATCGTTGTCTTCAGTGAATAATGAATCTCAACATCGAAAAAGAGACAATAGAGTACATGGTGAGGAACAGAAACTAGAAAACGAAAAGTCCTTTTCTGAGCAACCACTGGGACAGCTCATAGAACCAGTGGAAACAATTGATGTCCAAATTCCTTGGATATGAGGAGTGCGTAGATTATGGAAGCAAAAAGCGGAAGAAAGCGAAGATTTGCAGCTCGTTGACGCCTTCCGTCGCCGCTGTCCCCAGGGGAACTCGGGCAACATTTTGACTTCAATCTATGCTCATATAGTTTTACACCACGTTTTACACTTCGCCAACGATCTTCGTTTTTCTACTAACTTATTTATTTGCACAGTTCCTCAATCTTTATTCGTTGATCAATAAATCAATGCGGATATCGTTCAATGGAAAGAAATCTTTTCCCTGTACAACATTAAGGAAAAAAGCTCATAATCGGTACCCATAGGCGGCAGAAACTCAAGCCACCCGAATGCTTGTTGGGCTGTGCCAGCGTTTGTAATCACCGCGTTCTAGCGATATATAATTTGGTGAATGTGATGATCATCAGGATCACTATGAAGAGCAGCACGCCTAGCATGAAGAACACCAGGAAGGATTTCTGAAAAGAATCGTGTTCAAGCGATGAACGATGAGCTCAGATCAAAGAGTCGGATTCTCATTTCGTGCAACCTTCAGACATACTTTTTCAGGTAGATATAATCGGGGTCAATTCATTGAATACTCAGGTGGTGAAGTATTTGACGTGGGCGTAAAGTACAGCAGGGGTGGTCAGCACTCGGATATTTAGGAAAAAATAGGATAGAAGGCGCAGAACACTTGGGAAGTACCTACCTTTCATATTAGATACCAAAGAATATACGAGTTATAAGGACATCAGAGGGGCTGCCATGATATGTTGTGACCGAAAGGATGCAGAGACTATCAATCGCTACTAGCTGCTCTGGGATGTCGCTCTCATTGAAGGTGGTGTAAAGCTGCAGAAGTACGAGCAGCCCCCATCTGGGCCTTATCAGTTTTTCGTATTTGTCATGATAGGGGCGCTGTTTGATGTGAATTATGAATCCTAATGAAGAACCCATAACTTCAACATCACATCATTTGCCTTCCTCTGCTAATCGAATTTCCTAAGCGGCAGAAGAACCGATTTGACACCCAGAGCATCTAATCGGTAATGAAGGAGCGATGAAGAGGAAGTACTAGCACGGGTCTGCCCTATACTGCCGATGGCTTGGGACAGTCTTGGGCAAATGTGCCCGCCTTGCCGTGGTGCCCAAACAATTACTTGAATTGGGTGCAAGCCCCTTTGAGTAAATGTGCGAAACTCAACCGTTTTTCAACGAAACACTGTCACTTGCTCTACAATCACATGAAGTAGTCACGAACACTGTTTGCAAAAGAGTCATGTTACTGTACATATTTACAATAACGCCTCCATTTAGCGATTTTTCAGAAGAGCACTTTTCACCCAGACGCCGCCCTTCGAACGTTATGGCTGTAGATTGGTCCCCATCAATTTCCTGTGACAAAAGTTACAACATTGATCCATCAGCTGGATGTTTTCGATATGTCCATGACTTTGACCAAAAATAGATGTGTCATGATTTCAATGAAACACGCTTCACTGAGAGTTTCGCATTTCAGTGTGTAGGGCCTGGTGAAGAATACTACTGAAGACATAGAGGTTCGGCAATATGAAAATCTGAGCAGTGGCACTATCAGATGAAGGCGAAGGTGTTAAAAGAGCCGTCAGAGAAAGGAAAGTGATGAACTACTCGGACTGTGAAAAGTAAGACTCGCATACAGTTGATTTTCGTCACCCTAACAAAGATGTGGCATATGTGGTAAGAAATGTAACGAAGCTTCGAACGAATTCTTGCTTATTAGAGTGAGTAAGTTCGATGCTCAATAAATGCTATGACATCGTTTGTTTTGCCTAGTTGACGACCCTTTCGTCACTATAGTTTTGACTTGTTTCTAAGTGAGTGAGCGGTGAATTTACGTGGCAACAAAGCTGATATCTTCCCAGGTGGAGGCTATTTCATTGTTACCCAACTTAAGCGCAGTGAGCGACCAAGAACGGTCAACCGCAAAAAAAAACTCCTGTTTCGCCCACCCTCAGGTCCTGATCACAATTCGTTCTTTCGAAAGTTGATGTTCTGCAGGCATAGCGCCTACACATGATGGCTTCCGACTCCTATTAGAACGAATCGAACAACAGTACCTCTCTGGCCTGAGCGTTGAGCTTCACAGCCTCTGTCGTGTCGTTCATGACTTTAGCAGTGTACTCTGTCGCTTGGCTAATGTTTACATCTATACGGTTTAGTATCGGATTCTAAACGAGATATTCTAACATGAATCACCACAGAATTCAGCAAAAGGGTAACGAACCTGAGTGTGTACAAGGAAATTCAGATGCTCGTGCAGCGAGTTTAAAGTCGACACGGCTTCCTCCAGACGCAAGATACCTTCGTTCCNTTCACAGCCTCTGTCGTGTCGTTCATGACTTTAGCAGTGTACTCTGTCGCTTGGCTAATGTTTACATCTATACGGTTTAGTATCGGATTCTAAAAAAGATATTCTAAAATGATTCACCTCAGAATTCAGCAAAAGATTCACAAACCTGAGTGTGTACAAGGAAATTCAGATGCTCGTGCAGCGAGTTTAAAGTCGACACGGCTTCCTCCAGACGCAAGATACCTTCGTTCCGTTCTTTTACTTCAAGCAAGACAGCTTTCTCATCGCTTTCACCTTTCTGAACACAATCTTTCCGGGGTATTAAGCAAAAATATGAAGTTAGTGTTAAAAAAAAAAGATTATTTTTAAAGGTGAAAGTGATTCGTTTCGCCTCTGCTCAGATGAATTAGCTCGAGTCACCGTGACCACCATCACTCACAAGCTTCACTGCATTACGAAGAATAGGGTGTTTATTCGACAGAAAAAGAAAGCGTTCCTTGCGAACGTCGTGATCTAGCTTCGAACGATTTCTCTAGAGGTTACGGGTACTAGCCAATGCAAATGGAACTACTCTAACAAAACTGAATTTATACAGGAGTAAAGGAGTGAAGTGCACTGCAACTATACTCACTGATTCGTCGATCTCAACACACATCAGGGAGGGTGGTGGATTGGTGTCGTCCTGGAATGTAGCCATATCCATTAAAAGTAGAACCGTTTTGTGAAATGTATGGGATTATTATTGTAAGAAGAAAATCCTAGCTTCTCTCTCCGTCTCTCGACCGTCTTTTTCGAAGACCTAGTCCGCTACTGCAGGAGCGGAACAGCGCCACTCCAAGTCAGCTATGATAACTGACTCACTTCGAGGTCAGTTATGGTCGCTAACTCCGAGTCAGTTATGGTTACTAACTCCGAGTCAGTTATGGCTACTAACTATAACTGACTCGGAGTGGTGCTGTTCAGCTCTTGCGGTGGTTTACCGGACCTTTGAATCAAACGGTCGCGTCGTAACGTGAGGCCATTAATAAAGTTTTCACCTAGCAACCTCGTCAACAGAAAAACCACGATACATCATTAAAAGAAATGCACTCGAAAGCAAACCATTACAATTGCCGTCGCTGATTCCGTAGCCTTTTCGACGTCACCAACTTCATGGCTTCTGCCTAACGAATTGTCAGTCGACTCGCTTTCATCCACCTGAATGGTAAAAAATACAGCCTTGCAGCACTAGTGATTGATCTCTGCTCACTCAGGCCTTTCTTTCACTCTTTGATGTAGACCCTAATGAAGAAAACCGTGAGTTTCAACGCAGGCAACATGCCCCATAGTGGCTGTTAATTGTTTGCACCATAAAAAAACAAAAAGTCTCAAACCTTCCAAATATTTTCAGGCCCTACAAATGCAGAACGAATACTTTGAAAAAAGAAGGAATCCGAAATTAGAGAATTTCCAATGCTGAACATCTGTTACACTGTCCGAAACTGAATTACTAACAAGGGATAGGTCCGTGAAGAGAAGAGCCCCACTACCCGTATCTTGCGTGCACAAAGGGTGCGCACATATGCATTCAAATCTCTTCGTGATTCTGAACATATTACCTTAATACTACTAGTATATGTAACGTGCTCAGTGGCTGCTTTCATAGTCCGCCGGCGGACTATGAAAGCAGCCAGTGTGTTCGTTGCTTTGTCGATGCCGGTGTCGGTGTGTATGTGTGCCGGCGTATGTCAGACGGTGTGTGTCGGTATGTGTGTGTGTCGGTGTGAGGGTCGGTGTTTGTTTGTCGGTGTCGGTGTCAGTGTGTGGGTTTAATCGACAGAAAATTCATACTCCTGTTCACGTCGACCTGGAGTATTCAAACTCGAAAGACTGCCCGGCACACCTTTCCTCCGAGCGTTCTTGAGCAACGTCCCTTGGAGAGGATACTAATGGACTCCCTCCACTTCATCTACGCAGGTTTACTCGGGAATTCACAGCCTGGACCACGCTGTCATCAGCGGCCAGGTCACTTTTCAGGTATTGAAGGTCCAGTACACTCACAGACAGTTCTCCATGACGTTTACAATCGGTTCGTGCACTCCTCTGAGTTGAAGAACTTGGTCTTCTCCTAGTTTAGCTGGAGCCCCTTGTCCGCCAGCACTTTCTGCCACTTCTGCGACTTATCCTTCTGCCACTTCTGCAACTTATTTTCTAGTCTCCTCTATGAGCGATATCATAACCGTTGAAGATGGTCTTCAGTANCCCATCATGAGTTTTTCTTGTGATGGCCTCCATTGTAAGCAGGAAGAGGAACGGGCTTAGAGTTGACCCTTGGTGTACCCCTAACTATAACGTCTATTGCATTTGTTAGGTCATTAGGAGAGTGCGTATAATTGTTTCGAACCGATCGTACATGAGTTTGTAAAAGGGTTCAGGTGTTAAAAAACGTTTCGTTCTGGGAGCGCTCTCAGAGGGCTGGTCGCGGCAGGCGGCCGCAAGATTTTTTCCAGACCGAGGAATGCAATGTGTTAGGGTCTTCGCTTCCCTCGATACTTCAGTACCTGTTTGGATATGAAGATGACATCGGTTTTGGACATATACGGCATAAGGCTGCCGAACTGCTTCTGTGAACTCAGGACCAGTTCTCTCGAACTAGATTAACCGCACGTATAGTTTCATGGTATGCGAAGTCAACCAGAGTCCGCGATAACTGCAAGGCTCCATCGCATCCCTTCCCACTTGAAGATGGAAACGACGTCACTGCTTCCCCCGCATCTGGCAAAATGCAAATGCAAGGCTCAAGAGTCGGGAAAGCCATCTAACCCCGTGATATCCGAGCGGCTTCCCTGCCTCCATCGGTACCGTACTAATCGCTTTGCCACCTCGATTTCCCCTATTGCTCGTCAGGTCGCACTTTCTGACCACACTGCGAGCTGTCGCTTTTATTTGGAAGCTGTTCTTGCGGTGGAAATCCTTCGTCCAGGAACCTATCGAAGCTTTCTCCCCATCCGCGCATTACTCTAACTAGCTTCCTCAGAATGGCACCTACGCTGCCCTGTGCTCTCACTACTTTTGTGTCTTGAGTGGCTCGATGCCGGCCTTCGACCAACCTAAAGACGAACTTCCGCCTTCTCGACCGTTGAGCCTCCCGTACAGAATGTCCAGTTCCGAATCTTTCATCTTTACTTTTGCAGCCTTGGCCAGCGACTTGCAGATTTTCCAAGTATCTAGGTATTCTAGGGATCTCGCCTTTTGACTACGCTTGTATCTGTTTTAAAACTCGCTAAACTTCATCGTTCCAAGCCGTGTTGCCCTGTCATCTGTAAGTCCACTCCGAGTTTCTTCCAGCATTTTCCTTGCACACTGTAGGATGACTTCAACGACATTGCTCTGACAATGAGTCTGCTGGATCGCCTGTTGAGGATCTGAGAGGCCAGTCTTCAAGAACCTTCACTTGAGCTCCTCTTTCGCCGATTCTACCAGAGTTCACGCAATTTCGCTTGGTGCCTTCTTCATTGGAAAGATTGACACAATCTCCAATTCAATGGTCTTTGGTCGTTTCCAGCGTTTTACTGGAGGCATAGGACCTACAGTTAGATATTCCTGCGCCTTGTCAGATCAGCAACTTCTTAGGACGTAACAGGAACTCGACCCAACGTTCAGAGTCTCAATTCGAAGAGACACAAGGCGGAGGACATTTTCCGTCGGTTGTACGAACGGTGGTACCCTTAAGTAATGGAAAGAAAGTTCTCATCATGGACCTAGAGCGTAAAAGTTGATAGGGATAAAGGCGAAGGATGACTCGCTTATGATGGGTTGGGCGATCACGAAGTGCGCCGAGGCGTGTGTGTGCATTTATCTGCGTTTCTCGAAATTCATATCTACTGTTATTCTGTACCAGAGCAGCCAAATTCTCAGAGGTTGCGGATGCATACCAAGTGCGACACGAAAAGGAAGAGAGTATGAAGTCAGGGGTCAGCCAGGCGATCCGACTGGTAATATTATAATCGGATGGTTGGCTGCTGTCACTGACAAGGGTGGCGACTAAGCAATGAGAGCCGGTTTCAACGAGCCGTGGAAATAGTTCGATTATGCGAAAAAGGCAATCTTATTGTGAACTGTTCGAGTTGCCGAAAGAGTAAACAAGCGGTATTGTAGAATATACATGTGGTGCAATGGTCTGAGCAACCCGGAAAGGATGATTATGAGCAATCTTACTACTTCTGCTAATACTTTCTTCTACTTAGAGCATGATTTAAGTTGAAAAAAAGTAGAATACCCTTTTTTACATTACTTATCGATATCAGAGATGAGAATTTCTTGTCATTATGGATTCATTACTCACAGTCCTTTTCGCGATAATTGTGATCGGTAGGGCTTCTCATGCTAACCCGCGCATCCCATGTCCACAACCATTGGTCTACGATCCTACACTAGAATATCATGAAAACATTTTTCATGCTCTGTTTACACGGTACTACTTCATTCGAAATTCCGCTAGGTTTCATTTTTGGAAGTGGCTAACCTAGTGTGAACCACTTGAGAGTGAAGGATTTTTCCAGGTGCGTATTCATCATAAACGCTAACACATAAAATCGCTTGAATTCAACTGCAGCAAATTGCGTAAGCATGCCATGGAAAACAGTCAGCAGAAAGTTTGATTATGTCTGATGGGTGTGCAAACTTAGTTACGACTGAGATCAATCCGCGTCGAGGTGCGAGGTGATCTCAAGTGTAACTAACCTTATCTTCATTACGTGCCTCCCTGCGATCGTAACTAACCTCATCTTACTTATAAGAGTGAATGATGAGAATGATGAGCAAATGAAACTTCAAGAAAATTAGTTTTTTTAACGTAAAATCTTCATGGTCTTCGGTTTGAAGAGTTTATCATCATGTAACATAGAAAATTTCGACAGTAAGAAAGTGAAAGTCGGGTCAGATGTAAAAAACAATCTGTTGGTTTTTTTTTGAATTTTCACTCATCTGTGATATCAAACAACATGTACAGAAGCGAAGTAGTTGTTTGATGTTGGGGCATCGCGTTTTCGAAAGGTCATTGAACGTCCGCTGGCTGACCAGTTAGGTCATTTCACACGTCTCACGGAATATTACAATACTTCAGGCTAAATTCAGCACATAGAAGAGAGGTCATCAGCTTCTGTTCAACCTGATGGGTAAGCGATTTATGTGCAACTATCACTATAGCAAAGAGGCCTTGCTCAGAAACTTACTATGTATTTTGAGGACACTTCCTACTGCTTCCGAGACTTCACGGGGTACTTTTCAGCTTCAACGCAGCTCCAATCTGCACCCCAATACTATGCTACTTCTGTACCTATACAACCTTGGCTAACGCAGTTCCAACGGCACCGCTACCCTTGTACTATGCTACTTCTGCGCCTACCCATCCGCTCCAACCCGTACCACTCACATGAAGATGTCTAACTTCCTTACGAACAAGTCCATCTGAATTGTTCAATTACTACCTCTAAGATACTCCCTATTAGGAAAATTGAGCTTCTTTACGTTACAAAGAGATTATCTTTCATTGATTTTTTTGTTGAATTTTCTATTATCCTGCATGGTAATAAAAGTCTTTAAACCAGAGACCATGAAAATTTTACGTTGAAAAACGAATTTTCTTCAAGTTTCATTATCTCATCATTCTCATCATTCGCCACCACTCTCATAAGTACGATGAGCTTTGTCACGATCGAGGGGGGCGCGTAATTAAGACAAGGCTAGTTACGATTGAGGTCACTTTGCACCTCGACGCGAAGTGATCTCAGTCATAACTAAGTACCGACATCCATGTCTGATGCCAAGTGACTGGGTTTTATGATGCCATTTTTTCCTGAACACCTCTCTCTTTCTGAAGTTCGGTCGCCCTGCGATTGGAAAGAAACAAATAGGCCCATCCTGCAACGAAAAAGAGTAAGGCACGTGACAAAGTAATCCGTAACAGAGCAATCCGTATTGGCTGGGTGATCGATGTGAACAGTAAAAAACTTCCTATCCGTATTAGGTTGGCAAAAAGGTTTTGCGACATTGAAATCAAGGATTTAAAACTTTTGAATGAACAATTCGAACAGACAGCGAGGGTAAAACTTCTGAGACATTCTGCGGGCAATCAACACGTGAGGGAACAAGGGTACGCATATGGGCTTTCTAAACGTCATCATCAATGATTCCAATCGATTAGTTGAGGGTACCATACTTGTGCCCGTAGATTTGAATATGTTTTCCCTCATCTACCGCTTGGCAAATTAAGGGAAAACACGATTGTGGCGACCGAAATTATCGCAACTTAGTCGCTGAAATTTCCGTTCACCGATCAACGATCAACGATTGGTTTGACCAGCTTACTGTAGGAGATACTAGTTTTCAAAGTAAAACAAACATCGGCTTGCAGTTTTATGGGGCATGAAAGACCCGCCCACTATGAGTTCCTAGATAGTCACAGCTGTCGCTTATCTTTATAAACCCCAGCATTTGGGCAAAGCGATCAGAGAAGGAAGTCGAGAACCATAACCCAGGTACCTCCAGAACAACAACGCGCGTCGGATTTTCGTTCTATACACCCATCAAAACTCATCGGCTTCGCTTGGTTCCAGGTTGTTCACCAGTCGAACTCCCGGAACATTGCCCTTTTTATTTACCTTGTGCTCCGTCTTCTCAAGCATCCCTTTGTTGTAAAGAAGGTCGTATCTAAATATGGTCTGAAAAAGGCAGTCAATGGTTCCTTTGAGTCACAGCTTCCTGACTTAAAACAAAAGGCATCAGTGATTCACTCGAGAGATGAGCGAATGTCTCCGGTGAATACATTCCTGAAATTTAATTTGGAGAATCCTAGAAACAAACCCCATATAACTTTGTTTTTGTCGCAGAATTTTCCTGCCAACCTATTAACACCTTCCTCACCGCGCCCAGGTATCATTTCACACCCGTCATCACGCCCACACAACTTTTCGCTGACTGTCACACTAAACAAATACAAACAGGCACACATAATTAGCGCTATATGTACATATATAGAGGGTAACAGTTCGAGATTTTTCGAGAACTATTTTTTGGACAGAAACTACATTACTTGGCTTGACTTGATGTTTTTTGTTATCTGCTGTTATATCGCCGCAGTACGGGTTCCGAAAGTCTCACAAGGTTGCCGATTTATGGACAAAATTTCAGTCTCGGACGGGACTTGAACCCGTACTTGTCCTTTGCGGGAACCGTGCGTGCTCTTATCCCTCACACATACGAGACCGCGCTTGCTCTCGCCATCTGCCTTAAGATTCAGTGCTGATATTGGCCGACCGGCTCAACACGTTTTACGTGTGAATGCTGATAAGCTATGGCAT